ATCAGCAAGTTTGGGAAACTGCCTTAGTTATTATCCACACCTCTGTAGGCTGGGTCCTAGGAGTCTTCACTCTATTACTATGGTGTATAATAGTAAACTATATTATATTACTATATTATAAGTGACATTGTGTCCTTCTCATTACCTTGAACCAGGAGGCACAAGTCTCAGTTTGTCCCCTTATTGGTGATGCTAGCTTGAATCACTTCATGAGGCTTCAGTCTGTCATCTCTCTCCATTGTAAAATGTCTTTTCCTCCTTAAAATCAATAAGGTAATCTGTGGGGAGATACTTTGAGACTGACTGAATATCCTGTTCCCCTGCAGCCACTGTCCACTCCTACATTTACTTGGCATATCATCTGTAGAAAAAAGCTTTCTTCCTTCCTCTCCACCCCCATTTTATTTCCTTTTAGTATCACTCTGATCTCCAGGATTTTTTTTTAACATCAATGTGTTAAAATACATTAATGTCACTAAGAATATCTGTTTACCTAACCCACTAAAAGGAGAGCCCAAATTCCAGTCATTCTAGCTTCATTCTACTGAGCTTTACAATTACTGACCTCTCAAAAATAATGCATTTGTTATTTGCCTCCCGTCTCCTGAAAGGCCATGTCTGTGTTCATTTGCAAACACTTACTTGGCCAGCACTGATCACCCAGTGGCGTTGCCAGGATCCCAGTCAGTCCTTACCCTTGGCACATGCAGTCTCATGGCTGGCGCTGCTTCTGAGGCACTCACTTAACCAATACTTATTGAACCCTGATGACCAACGAGACATGCTTCAGATCCTCGAGAAGCTTAAGCCTAAGCTTAAACAGACCAAAAATGTCTGTTTTCCACCCATTATTTCTTCTAAATCCCACAGCATTTCATTCCACACACATCTTTTTTTTAGGAAGATTAGCCCTGAGCTAATGTCCACTGCCAATCCTCCTCTTTTTGCCAAGGAAGATTGGCCCTGAGCTAACATCCATGCCCATCTTCCTCCACTTTATATGTGGGATGCCTGCCACAGCATGGCTTGACAAGTGGTACATAGGTCCACACCCAGGATCCGAACTGGTGAACCCCAGGCCACCAAAGCAGAGTGTGTGAACTTAACTGCTGCACCACCGGGCTGGACCAAGACATCTTTCATCTCTGTTTCTGAAGCAGGGAATTAGCTACAGACAGTCTTAAATACCTGTTTAAAAGAACTTTAAATGTAATTTATTATCTCCAACATATAGAATAGCTCACCACAAAAGTAACTGAGCCTCGACCAATATCCATCACTTCTTAGTAAATGACTTTTTACCATAGTCTCCCCAAAAGAGAAGAAAGAGACTATAGAGAACCTGTCAGTCTGTAACAAGGCAGCTCGACTTGCCCACGCCCTTCTCTGGACCGGTGAGCAGGTGCACCTGGCTCACTCGTGGCTGAGCCCAGGCCGTTAGAACAGTTCTTCGTGGAGGAACCAATCTGAGCCGACTTTCTTTCCATTTCTGTCTGTTCTGAAGCCCCACGGCTTTGTTGGAAGATCAGATCCAGGTTCCCTTCCTGGCTGGCCTGGCCCCATGACTTGGCTCCCCACCTCAGGTCTGAATCCACCTGTTCGTCGTGGAGGGGGAAGAAAAGACTTCTCTCCATCTTAAGTTCTCCATCTGGGGCCTGTAAATTTGACTGGCCAAAGACAGATTAACAAGAGAAAAACAAACAAGTTTATTAGCACGTGCATCATGCACACCCCTGGGAGAACCCAGAGATGAGTAACTCAAAGGAGTGTTTGGAACTTGGGTTTATATATCATCTTGGGCTGAAACGAAGGACAAAGGGTTTGTGGCTTCTCGGCGGGGAGGCAAGTGATGGGAACGTGACCAGGAGAAATATGGTGAACAAAGGTTGTTTACTAATGCTTTATAGGCAGACTTGTCAGAAGAAGGAAAGATGTTTACTATGGGAAATTTCCTTCGCAAAAGGAAAACTTGTGCCTTGTTTTTAGAGCTTTTCCTGCTTCTAGTGTTCCTCAGAGGCCTTTAGCTCAAGATAACACATATGCCACAGAAGCATTTGGGGTAGCGTATTCTGGTATCTTCAGTTGCTCGCTTTGCTCCACCTACAGTAGACTTTCTGTTCTGTGAACTGTCCAGGTGGGTGCCCACCTCAGGGCCTTTGCACCTGTTATTTCCCCAGATTCACTCACTCATTAATTTTTTTGGTCTCAACTCAAATAGTACCTCCTGTGACTAGCCACTGAACCTGCTTTTCTTTACACCACGTATAACTATCTAAAAGTTGTTTATCTGAAAATGGCTGTGATGAGCATGGGCTCATTGATCCGTTCCAGTGATATTAGTGGCCGGGGGAAGTGAGGGACACAAGGGTGAAGAGGCTCCTCCGTGCTTCAACCACATGTGGTATGAAGGAAGATTCGAGACTGTACTGAGGCCACGGTGGAGGGGAAGGGCCATGGGGGTGCCCAGGAGGAGGAAATCACATCTGGGTGGGAGGATCACAGAAAATTTCATAACGGATGTGTAGCCATGAAGGATGAATAAAAAGACTTAAAATTTATTTAACAGGAGTAACAAACGAAAAACTAAAAGTCAATTCCAGTAAGAGAGAACACATAGTCCTTAAGTCAGCAACCATTAATATGGTCTGCAGCCTCCAGTTTTTCTTATACGTATTTTAATTATAAAAGAAATACTGTAGAAAAAAATGAAATGCAAAAAGTATAAGGAAAATAATAATTCCCCTATAATTCTGCCATTCAGTAATAACCAGTGTTTATGTTTTGATATGAACCTGTGTTTCCAACACAGTGGCCACATGTGGTTATTTAATTTAAATTTAAATGAAATAAAATTAAAAACATCACTGTAATTTCTGCATCACATCCTTCTTATTTCTGTCTTTTCATTTATCATGATTGTATCATCCTTTATAGGTTCCTAGTTAGTTATGAAAATTGTCTTTCCCTTTAGGAGCACAATAGTTTATGACATTATTTTTGAGTTTAGAGAAACTGTGCGGGCTCATGCAGTGGGACGGGACTTGGCCCTGGGGGTGAATCTTGGCGGTTTCCCTTATTAGCTGTTTGAGCTTAGGGAAGTGTCTTAACTTCTCTGAGGTTCTGCTTCTGCAGAGTCAAGTGGGGGTCACAGGAGGCTCTTTGTGGGGTTATGAGTTAGTGCACAAATGGAGCACAGTAAGGATCAATGACCATTAGCTCTCCCATTCCTTGCCCCGCCTGCTCCACAGTTGGGCCGTTGAACCCTTACCAGGTTTTAAAGTATAACCTACAGCACAACAGAAAACATCCTTGTACAACTTGTTTTTGAATTTTTCCTTGAAATGTATACCCCAGAGTGGTACAACTGGTCATAGGCCACAATAGTTTATATGCCTCTTCTCATGAATTTCCAGATAACTCTCAGAGACATTGCATCAGTCTGCAGAGCCTCTGGCCAAGCTGGGCAGCATTATTGCGACCCTCACAGCCCTGCCATTAGTGACTGAAGTTCCACTCTGCTGGCTTAAATCCTGAGGGAGTAGCTAGTGCAGGAGTGAATTCAAGAGCTGGAGCAGGTGGGTACCTGAACAGGTGGGGTGTAGGGAGCATTCCAGATTTATTGTCCCTTGAGAAGTCTGCAGTTGGAAGAGGGTCCAGGTAAGAAGATAAGTTTGGAAGTATCCTACCAGGAAACTCCTGCACCTAGACTGTCATGACATCTGTGGGCAATTTTGACCTCCGTGTAAACTGGGAACTTTTGCAGCCGATCAGACTTAGACCACCAGGAGCAAATCTGCAGTCCCACGAAATTAGCTTTACTGACCCACTGCAGTGAGGCAGCGGCACGCGGTGGGACCGCGGGGCTTCCTGAGAACAGAGGAAGAGGCAGAGTTCCTGTGGGGTTTGGGGAAACTGACATGAAGCAGTGTTCCCACAGGCTCAGAGCAAAGCAGGACTGTGTGCCAGTGGCCCCGGGCCCTGTGTGCTTGGGCACCGGCATTAAGCAGATGTGGGAAGCTGTGTCCAGAGACCCTTCATCTGCAGCTGCACCAGGGGTGGGATGGAGGAGGCTGTGTCTCTGTCAGTGACCCGGATCCTTGCCCCTGTAATTTAGAGGGGAAAGTGTCTGAGGGCCCCTGACTTAGGGAACAAGGTTTCTCAGTGAGTAGGGAAGTGGTGCACCCTCAGGGAGGGGTTGTAGCGACACTTGAGGGCCACAGTGTGCCCTGGGCAAAGCTGTCCCCTGTTCACTAGCAGCGTCTGTCACCCCAGTCTGAGGATCACAGGCAGGTTGGCACTTTCTCAGTATAAACTAAGTTTTACTTTAACTGGTATTTTGAGAGCCACCCCAGCCCACAACGCAGGAGACCAGGCGCACCAGGCGTCGGTGGCTGGCTGCCTTTCAACGTGTACTCTGTGTTCCTTGACGTTGACCAGACCTCGGCCACATCCGGCACCAGGGCACTCGAGTTGAGGGCGGTTGGTGACCTTGGGCAGGCGATAGACGCCACCCGGAAATCCCAAAAGCCCAGAGGGCAGGGTCCTGTCCCCTGACTGCCCTGGGGCAGGGGCATCAAGGAGCTCGCGCTTCCGTTCCCGAGTCATCCAGCTCCTCCAGTCGCCCTCCACTTCTGCCGGTCTCGGCCAACTTGGGATCAGATCTCAGCTCTTGGGCGGTCACTTCAGCTTTCTCATCTATAAAACTGGACGCCGCCACTGCCTAGGTCCAAGGACTAAAGCCCCTCCCCGCGGCCCCGCCCCTCCCCTCCCGCGGCCCCGCCCCTCCTCTTCCCCCGGCCCGGCCCCTCCCCTCCCGCGGCCCCGCCCTCCTCTCCCGCGGCCCCGCCCCTCCCGGCGGCCCCGCCCCGGCGCAGCGCGCAGGCGCGGTCCGTGTCAGCCGGCGTCGCTGCAGTCCCCGGCGCCACAGCCGCCGCAGCATCCCAGGTGTCCGCGTGTCCTCGCTGCCCTCGGTCTCCTTTTGCTCCTCTTCGCCTGGCGAGATGGCGAAGCCGCTGACGGACAGCGAGAAGCGGAAGCAGATCAGTGTGCGCGGGATCGCGGGGCTGGGCGACGTGGCCGAGGTGCGGAAGAGCTTCAACCGGCACCTGCACTTCACGCTGGTCAAGGACCGCAACGTGGCCACGCCCCGCGACTACTTCTTCGCGCTGGCGCACACCGTGCGCGACCACCTGGTGGGCCGCTGGATCCGCACGCAGCAGCACTACTACGAGCGCGACCCCAAGGTGAGGCGGGACCCGGCCTGGGCCGCGGGCCGGGGCGACGGCCGCCGGGCATCCCTCGCCGGAGGGACGCGCGCCGGCTCAGAGCGTCCGTGTTGAGCGCGGTGCCCCGGCCGCCCCCGCGGCGCCTCGGGTGAGGCCCCTGCCTCCCCCACCGCGCTTCCGCGGGGTCACCCGCCCTGCAGGGGCCCGGCCCGGTCATTCGCGCCCGGCCATCCAGGGCGCAGAGCGGATTCGGGCTGTCGTCTACCCCCGCGGCAGTCGGGTGTGCGGAGCCGAACGCGAAGGACCCTTGCGCGAGGAGCCCGGCCTTTCTGGGCTCCGCCGCTCCTCGGAATTTCCGAGCCCTGGAGCCCTGGCGGAATTTTCCGGGCTCTTGCCAGTCGTGAGCTTCCGTGATGGCTGCGCTGTCGGTGCCCGCCCCCCGCCCCGCTGTGTTTGTCTGCAGCCGCGAGTGGGAGAAAAGGGGACTGGAACCGAGCCTGGGCAGTTGATGTGTTGGAAGCGGGCGAGCTCAGTCATCTGCAGGAATTGGGAGGCCTTTTTTGGCTAGGCAGTGATCAGAAGAAAATTGTTGAGGATGGGCTGTAAAGCAGGAGGGAGCAGAAGCTCCCAGAAGGCGCCGTCCAAGAAGGCTCTGTGTGTGAGGTACCCACACCTTCCTTGAAGAACTTTACTTACAGTAAAGCTCATGGATATTGAGTACTTATTACTTCGTTTTACATCTTGCAGAAATTTATGTTTACACCAGAAAAATACAGAATGCACAGAAGAATAATCAGTGACGTGTATCCGTTACTGTTAACCGTATTAGAATATAGATGAATGTCCTTTCAGAGCTTTCTCTATTCCTAAATATACGTGCACATTTTTAAAAAGGTATTTTGCATACACAGTTTTGTGGCTTTTCTGTTTCATTCATCGACATCTGTAGCTTTTTCAACAGCTTTCCGAGTCAGTAAATATGTTTCTCCAGTATCATTAGCAGTTTTCACTTGACGGGTGTATGATAGTCTTGGCCAGCCCCCTGCTGCCAGTTTCTTTTTTGTTCTTGACCATGGAGAATTTTGTCCTTTCTATTGTACTAAGGTAAAGAGTGAAAATTGGTGAGGAAAGGGCACACTTGCAGTCCTGAAGTCAGTTTGCAACGATCTGATTTGCAGTCTACACCTGGGCACTCGATAGTTGCTTTGTTGATAGTATTTTAGAGTATTTTTGTGGGGCGTTAAGAAATGTTTAATGATTACTAAGAGTGATGTTGATTGCTTTTCCAAACTTTTTCTGGGGCATTCTTTTAGAGAGATGGTAAAAAGGACAGATTTGTTAGAATATTAACTTGGCCTTTTCATATTTAGTATGCAAGACAGTGTAGAGAGAAATGGCACCAAATGGCTAAAAAAGGTTATTACAACAAGGAATTGGGATGACTTTGCCAGGGAAACTGGCCAAGAGGCAGTGGCTCCTCTAGAATTCCTTACTGATGGTAGAGCTCTGATTCACATCTTTTTTTTTTTTTTTTTGGCGAGGAAGATTGGCCCTGAGCTAACATCTTGTACCAATCTTCCTCGTTTTGCTTGAGGAAGATTGTCCCTAAACTAACATCTGTGCCAGTCTTTCTCTAGTTTGTATGTGGGATGCCACCACATTATGGCTTGATGTATAGTATATTGGTCTGTGCCCAGGATCCAAACCTGCGAATCCTGGGCTGTCAAAGTGGAGCACGTACACTTAACCACTGTGCCACCAGGACCACCCCCACAACATCATTTTTATTGCCTGGGTGTAGACGACAAGAGTGCGGCTTTGACTGCACATTCAAGGGCATTTCCCTGGAGCTGGACCAGGACACACCCCAACACCTTAGAGTTCCTGTTAGAGTGTTTATGTATGTTTAGATCCTAAAAAGGCCAGTGATGGGCTCAGGGATTGTGGAAATGTCCTTTCATAAACAGAATTAATCCCTCTAACAAAACAAGTTTGCTGATCCTCAGTGAGAGGTCTGAATTTTGATTGTTTACTGTGGTGGGTACAGGCAGAAACCTTTCTCTTTTAAAGAAACCACATGGCCTATAAATGGAAGGTTGTTTGCCTGTTCTGGATAGAAGGCCATTTAAAAATGGAAAATTGGAATATAAGTGCTTCAGTCTGGCTAATTCATGTTGAAAATGAGCTTGTCATCTTCTTTTTCTGCAAAAGCTGTATATTGTAATTGACCAGAAATAAGCCCATGAGGGTCAGAACCTGTGAGGGGAGGCGGGCTCCCAATAAAAATCCTGCAGAGCCGCACCCCAAGCCCTGGGAATGGCCTCGGGGACTCGTATGCTGAACTTCAGGCTGGGGTAGCCTGATGGTCTATGTTTAATAAACTAGAAGGCTTTTATTTATTATTTTTGTCTTTTCAGCAATTATCCAAGTCCTGATGATTATTGGAGGAAAAATTAGAAAACACAGATAAGCCAAAAGAAAAAATTAAGTGGAATCTCACCACCTAGTAATAACACTATAAATGCTATAAAAATTTTGTCTTCTCCCATCTTTTTTTCTATACTGGTAGGAACATTTGTTTTTATTACACAGAATAGCATCATACTGTACCTGTTGTTTTATAATTCTTTTAACTCTGTTTTTGGTAGTAGCTGAAACAATTGAAACTCGAGTGCTCAAAGGAAGATTTTTAAGGTAACCTGTCTGGCAGTTCAGCAAGTCAAAAAATCTGGCTAAAATTGAGAGGTTTGGGGGCTGGCTGGGTCGTGTAGTGGTTAAGTTCACCACTCCACTTTGGTGGCCTGTTGTTTGTGGGTTCAGATCCTGGGTATGGACCTACACACTACTCATCTAGCCATGCTGTGGTGGCATCCCACATACCAAATAGAGGAAGATTGGCACAGATGTTAGCTCAGAGACAATCTCCCTCACCAAAAAAAAAAAAAAAATTGAGAGGTTTTTACTTGGCAGTGGGCAGCACTTAGTTCTGAAGATGGCTCAAGGATTCTCTGAAGTGACGGCAAGGTTGGGACACTACTCCAAACTCAGGAGCAGAGAACTGGATGGTGAGGGATGGCTTGCAGGAGCCCAAGCTCCTTTTAGTCCTGGCTTTACCTTTCAGCCTGTGCAACCTGGGGCTTGGGTGGATTTCTTAACCTTTCTTGGGCTTAGTTTTTTCATCATTAAAATTAAGGGGGATTGAGCTAGGTAATCCATTTCTGAGGTCCCTTATCATTCTAAAATGTTATGGTTTTGTGTTTGCTTATAAAATGTTCCCACTTTATATTGATATTCCATCTCTATCCAAAAAGAATTTGAGACTGCTTAAGTGAGATATAACACAAAAGTCTCAAATTAATAGAAGACCTCAAAGCGAAAGTGGCTGAGGGACAGTAAGGTTAAATTCAGGTGCAAGGTCAGGACACAAAATGCTGATATAAGTTCTGGCAGCCAGAGCAAGTGGTAGGTCGTGCCCAGTGATGGGAGTCATGGACTCTCTGCAGGAACTTCTAGAATGAGCAGGTGTGAGATTGCTTCCATGGGTCTTTAAAGCAGATGCTCTATGATGTGGACAGCTGGCCTGCTGCATCCCTGCTATGGATGAAATACTCAGTTTACTATGGCTCTTTCCCCTAAGCTCACAGCATGTCCACAATGATGGATTAAGGAAAAGCAGCTCTACCACAGGGCACAAAATGCTGTCTTATGTCTTTCTAATAAGATAATCATGATGAATAGAATCCATCTTATGGTTTGGCTGGACCCAAGAGTTAAAGGAAAATGACCTGGAACAGTGTTTTGTAGCCTGACTGCCTACAACCCCCACTTCTGGGATTTTGTTTTAATTCATCAGTGGTGGGACCAGCTCCTGGAATCTTTTTAACACACCCAGTTGTTCTGATGTGTGTCCACTTGTCTGTCTGAAGTTGACCTTGCGTCCCGCGGGCAGGTTTCCCTGATAGTGGATAGCTCAGTTATTCTCTCTGGCTAGAAGTTGATGATGGGCATATGTTCTGTGTTGCCGATCACCCTGGCAGCTTGCCAAGTGGAAGGTAGGGTGAAGTGCCGAGTCCCGCCCCGGCTGAGTCCAGGTTCCTGAGGGATGGACGGCGTCGGCGCAATGAGGGGAAAATAAAGAGGACGTGAGACTTGGGTTGGTGTTAGCAAGTCCAACTTTACTGTGCACAAGTGTCGTTTTTATATTTTTCAGGATTAGTACAGAAATACCTCTACAAATATTCTCAGAGAGATAAGGAAGTAAAAAAACGAGCACAAGAATATTTATTAGCATTCTATTCTATAGAGCATAAGGTTAATGGTAGTCTTCTCCGCAATTAACTAGTGTTTGTTGTCTCTAAGCTAAAAGAGATAGGTACCTAAACATCTGTTGTAATTCATGGTAAAGTTAAATCAAAGAGAGAAGGTCCAGGCCTCCGGACAGGACAGGACAGGACAGCATTCCGTCTGGTTATATCCCGGGGGAGCCATCCCTGCCTCCCTCAATCATTTACGCCATTAGTGTAGATGGTTAATGGGAACAAAAGGCGACTCCAGGGTGTCTTATCCCCAGGGCTATTTGCGCTCTCAGCCGGCAATTAAACATCTTTACATTCCTGTGCCCTTTAGGGGGTGAAAGCATTCCTTTGTCTTTTAGATTGTAGAGTTAACAGTCCCTTAAGCACACTGCCCGGAGAAAATATCATTTTGTTAGTAAAGTAAAGGGCTGAAAAGCTAAGCTAAACTATATATCTTCAAGAATAAAAACTAGAAATAAATATAGACATAACCTTGATAGAAAGCATACATATAATTCAGAAAATATCAGGGGTGTCGGCCGGCCATTCTTCACCGAGGGGCATCCCTGCACCCCTCGGCCCTTCTACTCATCAATTATTTATTATTTATTGCTTTTAGGAGAAAACCTCTATAACATTTTAACAGAAAGCAGAAGGTCAAGAATAATATATAGATACTTCTTGATCATCCAATTAACCAGCAAACTTGGAAGGACGATGCAT